AATCCAACTTGGCTAGGTTTGGAAATTATTGAACGAAGCCAACCGGAAATACTAGAAAGTGACCAACTTAGGTTGAGTTGGGTTAGTTTGGTTAGTTTCATCGGTTTGATGAAATACCTTAGTTGAAATTAATTATTGATATTTTTGTATTGTAAAAAACTTATTAAAAATAGTATATAAATATAAATAATTATTAATTATTTAAAAATTAAAATATAAAATAATTGTATACTCTTATGTATTTATATTATTTAACTTTCGCTAAACAAAGTTCGTGCATCACACGGGTCCCTGCTAGTTTTTCAACTAAAATACCTTCATTATTGTTGAATTTGATCCCTTTTTATTATAAAGGCAAAAAATGTAGTTTGGACTACTATTTATATTAAATTCATTCCATCCCTCTTATTTAGTTTTGTATTTAAGGCATTAATTCCCATCCCCTTTCATTACGTCCTATATTTACTATATATTAAATAAATGATCATTGTTGATTTTTTCTTGACTAAAACACACCTATTTTTAAATTTGATCATTCTCTAACCTTAAGTGCAGAAAATGTATATTAAATTATTGCTTTTCACTTCATTCAATTTCCTCTCATTAAGGTATTAATTACCTCTCTCTCTATCTCTATCTCTCTCTCTCCTTAGATCCTTTATTTGAAATAATTTTGTTTCTCATCAATAAATTCTACTAATTAACTCTACACCCAATAATTTTAAGGGTAAAAGACTTAAAAATACCCTCTATTTTCATAAATTGACTCAAACATATTTTGTGGGTTGATCCCACTAGACTTAAACCTACCCTAAGTAAAGCATTTAGAACTCTTAATATGTGATACCACATGACCCATTATTTATTTATTTTTAAATCCTATATATTTTACCCTTGTTATTCTACTTAGCTAAGAATTTATACATATAAAAAACCTGTTTTAAAAGATAAATTGTGATCGTGCAACCAAAAGGCTTCTCCAACAACAGATAAAATATTAATTTTGCTAAAAAGAAAAAAAGGCAAAATATCGATGGAACAATTGAGAAAATTCCTGGGAAGCTTCAAGACGAGCTTGGTCAAGTCGAAACTTCAATTTGTCACGAATAAGTTTACACTAGTCTTGAGTATATATATATGAAGGTGTTTTAGCCAGATTTGCTTAAACATTCGCATATTTGAATCCATGGGCTTGGTCAAAGAACCATTAAAATACCCGAGTAGATAATCAAATTTCATATAACTAATTTTCTAGGGAAATTTATATTTCGAAATTCGAACCACCCAATGAATATAAAAGGTATCTTTTAACCTACAACTGGGTGTTTTCATTGACTTCTCCCATTTTATTGGTATGCCTGCGTCGTTCAAGCCTCACTGAAGACATTAGCCTAATCATCATGCAGTGTCTATATATATATATATATATATATATCAGGCGCTAAGGATGAGAGCTTTCCATTACTATCGCTAGCTTTCTGACCTAACAAGAAGAGCTCAAAATTGAAATTTTTGATAAGAGATGCGCATTCTCAAATCTCAAGCATATGCATGAGTAGAGAAGGGGTGGTAGGGTTTGTTTACAGGAATGGGATTTCAATTTTCAAGGTAGAAGATGTCTGTTCGTCTTTTAATTCAAACCATAAAAGATAATGGTGGAAACTGGAAAAGTATATTTACAAAATTTGGGATGTGTTTAAGTCAATTTATGAAAACTGATCAGGGTATGTTTAATTCTCTTACGTGCCCTAATTATAACAATGCAAAACCTATGCCTTCAAACCCAACATGAAAAATAAACTATCCTTTTTTCCATATGGCAGGCACATAGTTCAACTATTTGGGTGAAACGGGCCAATCAATGGCTTCATAGTTACATAATAAAGGTTTAAAAATAAATAAAAATATAAAAATTACAACAAAGGCACGTCTCCAAAAGTGTATATTTATCATGTTAAATAAAAATAAGTATTATAAATAAGAAGTATTTTTTTATTAATGATGGAAATGAAATACCATTTTCCTATTCAAGCAACGGATCAATGGTTCAACCTTTTAGGTTAAATCAATCAACCCACATTGTCATAATTAAATAACAAAAATCTTAACGAAGATTGAGATAAAAATTATTAAAAATACAAAAAAAATATTGTAGAAAACATTTGGATACATCTCTAATATTATGTATTTCATCATATCAAACAAAAAAGTATGCTAAATAAGAATTATTTTTGTTAATAATAAAAATAGAATAAAAATTTAAACTAACTCAAAAAAGAGTATATATTTTTTCATCTAATTGGAGGTTAGTGACCTGTATGGGTGCAAATTGTGTAGACTGAATCTGAGTTTGAACCAACCTAACTTGCAATTTTAGACAAAATAGCTTGAATCTTCGGTCATTAGGCTGGGCTTGGGCCTATGCCCAAAAGTTTGGGCTTTTTTATTTTTCAACTTGTGCCTGGGCCTAGACTTAGGTAGCTCTAGCTTGGCAGGAGTAATACCATCTCAAAGGCCTAGGCCTAGAGATGAAACCAAACCTCCTTTTTGTTTCTAAAACTAAGGCGTCATTGCAACGTAGTGAACAAGTTCTTCATAGCATTGGTTTAAATGCCATAGTGTATACCCTCAAAATGGTCATAAGGATGGCCTATGGTTGGCATGGAGGAGGGGTGTAGATGTTGATGTTTTGTGTTTGCAGAGGTGTATGATCACCATCCTATTCATGGATGTTTGCCAGGGGTGAAATGGTTGTTCTTGGGATTCAGTCAGGGGTGAAAATGGTTGTTCTTGTGTTTGCAGAGGTGTATGATCACCATCTTATTCATGGATGTTTGTCAGGGGTGAAATGGTTGTTCTTGGGAGGAAATGGGATTCAGTTAGTGCAAAGCCCGTTCAAACAACCATCATAGCCTTGCATTGGGAATATCTCCCCATGAAATAAAGCATAGAAGTACGGAGATGTTCCCGATGCAAGGCTGTAAAGGCTGTTCAAACGGGCCTTGCACTGACTGAAGCCAATCTCCTCGGGAATCTGTGGTGATCCTTGTTGCCAATGCCGTTATGAGGTATGGGAGTTACTTGATGGTATTGTTGCGAATATGCTGGCCCGTGGTTATGCATGGGTAATTTTAACTCAATTAATTGCTCATGTTAAAGAAAAGAGAGGTGGTCATAGAGGTGTTGGTTGTAGTGCTTACTCGTTGGCAAAGTTTAATTGATATTGGTTTTGGGAAGACATTACACTTGGTGTAAGGCCATGCTTAGGAGTGCTTAAGTTAAAAATAAGTGCTTATTCAAACAAGTACTTATTTGTATTTGACACCCAACTTCTATAAGTAATTATTTTTAAAATAAACATTTATTTGATATTGGATGTATTTGGTAGTCTTTTTCTCTGATAAACACTTAAATAAGAGCATTTATAGCTATTTTGTCTTTTAGGGAGTAAATGAAACAGTATTTAGTGAGATGAAGGCACTTTGATGTGAGATTGACACACACGTTCCACGCATTGATTATAATTTGTAGTGGTTGAAGGATTTACTCACTTCACTAGAGGAGGATCTATAAGCCCGTGAAGAGCTTTTTTGGAGGCAACAGTCTAGAGAAACATCTATTGATGGTGTTTGGTGGGAGGATGGCTCATGATTCTATATTCCCATATTTGCATAGCATTCTTCTTCAATATCTGTAGGCCTAACCGGACAATGAATGTTGCATTTCTCTGTAAAGGTTAGTATTTTAAGGGCGAATGTTGTATTCACCACAAATTCTTTTTACCGGCCGCCGCTAAAAACATGCAGCAACGGATTTGTCGTGTTTTACTATAGTAAGGTCTGTCAACAGGCCAGGTCTGAGTTGGGATAGGATGTCTCAGTCCCAAACCGATTATTAATGGCAATGGTTACAATTATAGAATCAAAACTAATATAATCGATTCGGTTCAGTTTGGTGGATGAGATAGAACGGACCCATTGACAGTAGCCAATATATCCTTTGGCCTTCCTCAAGGTCGGTACTCCACCATACACACACACCACCGAAGAAAACGATGTTAGCAACAAGTTGGCATATGGAAGATGGTGACTGAGGTACCAACTCCACATTCACATTATTCTGTTGTGTTGGAAATTGGAATTGATCATTGGATGTGGGTGTTGAGATGGCTCAAGTTTTATTGGGAAAGTGACTGTTAGGGCAATGTCAAGAGGTTGTTGGACTTGCTTTTGAAATAGGATAGTCTCAACTGAGGAGGCGTTAAAATCATCAACTGTGTGACTGTGATATCACTCACTATTAAGTAACGCATTCAAAATGAAAGTCGGAATCCATCCCCGGTGGAAACGGTAGGCCTTCTCCGTACACAAGGTACTTGCTGATTTATAGTCTAACTGTTTGGTAGGCCCTAGACTAGAGTAGAGAAGAAGTAGAGATGGTCACTGGTCACTTGGTCAGTCATCTTCAAATCAAATCGGCTTTTGTGGGCCTTGTGGACTTGGCCCAGACACTGGCTCCTCGTAACCCGTAATCGTAGCCCCAAGGAGTAGGACATCAAATATGTCACAATCGTGTGCCAGCGATGATCACAAGTTCACACAAAGCCCTTGAACAGTTACTAAAGTAGGGGAAGAATTATGGGCATCTGATCATCAAGTCAGTGTCTTCGTTATATATCATGGGCCCATAGGGTACATTACATAGAAACACTATGTACTGTTTTAACCCATAACAAGCTTGCATCCAGATCAAGATGATGCAAACTATATGCATCTGGGAGCTATGGTGGAAGAAGGGTGGGTCCTGTCCATATGCATATAAAATCTTCCATTTAATAATCTCTTGTTCACATTTCATATTTGGGTCTTAATCATCGATCACATAGACAAGGTCCAGAAGATGGCCAATCAGGAGGGTTTTCTGTTTTCTACCAGTACCAATGAATGAATGACCTTCAAGTGGAGGAAAATCACTCTCAAACAGAAAGCAAATATACAGCATGATCAGTACAAAAAACTGATAATTTTTCAAATGAAATACATCACTGAAAATATTCATTATATCATTCATATCAAATGTTCTCTTTTGAGTAGGACAAAAGTAAAGCAGATATTGTTGGCATTCCGTCCTTCCTTCTAACATTAGGAAAAAACACAAGGTGGACTAATTGATGATGATGCTCTATAACAAACAAATTCCAAGCTGTTAATAGTGGGGTCCACTTTGCCCTCAACCTATTGACTAGGCCCTATGCAAGACAGGAATTAACTAATTGAAACATAATTCAAGGTATGGGAGTTAAAAATTTGGTGATCCTCCAAAACTTGTTTTTGAGAGAAATATTTGAAAACTGTCCTATAACTGGCTGATCCATACTCATAGACGAAAAGAAGTCACTGAACAGAACTCAAAACCCGCACCATTACCCTTTTTTGTGAAGATAGATAATGAAGAAGAAAAGAGATTAAAGAGACTGATGTATGGATTCAGAAGAAAGGGAAGCTAAACCAAACTAAACTCTTTTCTTGGGCCTGTATTAGGTGGGGAGCTCATGACAGAGAAAATTTTAAAGGAAAAGGAAGTCCAGACAGGCACAGAAGGAAGATTATATAGAGAACTGAGAAATTGAGAAGAGAGAGATATAGGGAAGGAGAGAAGCTACCAAGGAAAATTAAAAGCTGAGAGAAAATGTCCAAAAAGCAAGAAAAGACACAGTTATGGTGCAGTCGTCTCCCTCTTTAAAGACCTTTCTTCCAAGGTAAAATGTAAAAAATAATAATAATAATAATAATAAAAGTTCTGTTGTAAAAGTATTGAAGTTTTTTGTTATGAATTACGAAAGCAGCAGCCAGGTTGCAGATGATGATGAACCCACATCAGCTCTTGATGAAAGCATTCAAGTCCAACCAACCAACCAACCCTACCAACTCCTCAACACCTCTCTCTCTCTCTCTCTCTCTATTCAATGCAGCCAGGAAGGGCCTCTGATTTCTGATGTCTGTATTTAAGGAGGGTGAAGAGGGGGGAGAGAGAGAGAGAGAGATCAGTGCCAGCAGCAACAGAAGCTGAATAGCAGGTCATCAAGAACGGGGGCAATTCAAGGCAGCTTTAATCCGATGAATTGTATTGCTGATAACATTATTAACCGTAGACACTGTATCTACAGTCACCCTTGCAGTTGGCAGGCTGCTAACAAGTATCTGATATGCCACGGTAATGAGTGACCCACTTGACCTGCTTGTGTTACCTTGCAGTGAGCTTGAAGACGCTCCCTCTGCTGCTTGGTCCCGCCGGCCATCGGAATAAATGGCAAATCCTGATGGCAGTATATTGATGTAGGAGGTGTCTTCCCCGCTCATTGCTATATTAATTGCTGGCAAATCTACCGGAGAATAAACAACAAGTGATTCTGATGAATCTATGCAACTTTCTTGAAGTAGCAACATGTTGTTCTGGCTAGCATTGAGAGTCTGTACGCGATATACAACCATGCTCGTAAGCCAACTATAATCAGGGAGTAGTGATTATAGCCAGATGAAAAGGGAAAACAAAAGCAGAAATCTAAGAAAAAAAAAAGTTACAGAAGTAACAGATATCTGATTCAAACATACCCGAAGAACAGAAATACAGTTTCCCGGATGAGATCCATTTGCAATATGGGCAACCTCCTGCACTGAATTACCATGGGAAAGAAGATCCCACTGTACAGATTACAAAATTCAAAGACAGTCTTAGTATTTCTGCTTGCTCTTAACTCATTGGAAAAAGCTTCAAGGAACCAATACTTGGTTAGTTTTACCTGAGCTCGATTCCTCTCATCCCTGATGAAATTGAAGACGTTCTGCCAGGGTACTGGAACCCATATAGAGGTTGCTGCACTCAGAATCACACCAGTTGGTTGTCCAGGTTCTGTGCTCTTGTGGGCGATAACTCGAACTCCACTGTCACCTAAGCCAGAGAGTGTCGTCCACCGCCCGCTTGACGCGCTTATGTTAGCACAGAAACTGTTTACCATTCGTTGGGCAAGCCTCATCATGCTTCTCCTTCCATCAACTGAGGGGATCACTGTAAACACATCATCATCAAAGGCTTACACAGCCATGAAGTTTGATTTCTCCAAGGAGATTAAATTCTCAGAAGAATTAAGCTGATTACTGTACCTCCGCCAAGGTCCCGACTAGAAGCACCCGACACCATTTGGCAGGCAAATCTTTCACACATCCTCTGCAGTGTGGCAAGCCATCTTTCAGCTCCATATGCCATCCCACTGCTAACAAAATCTCTATATAGCCGAGGAGTAGGAACCCTGTCTTCCAATTCCACATGTTCCAGCCAAGAAACCTATCAAGTATTCCCCAGAAAATGGGTTTTCAGGGTCAGTACTTGCTTAGTTATAATGTGAAAAAGTAATTTCTGCAGTCGATATTTTTCACCTTTGAATACCCATTAGGTATTTCTTGAATCAAGCATCCAGAAGGAAGCCTCCGACATTGGAGAGGTGAGACAAGTTGGTTCTCTCTGGTGATATCAAAGGATACATCCACTACAGCCCACATGCCTTGCTCAATTTGCTGGCAGTAACGAACAAAATAGACTTCTCGAGTTGGCACAAGTGGTGAAAGAACCTGCAACTCTGCATAAATCTGCGACCAAAATTCTACAAGTTTAGACAAGTTTCTAGCATACTAAAAGCCCAAATGTTGCATTATCAAATAGAAGTGAAGAGAATACTGATTTTGCCAGCTACCAGTTGCAAGGAACCACTATGGCTTCCCTCCATCCCAGGGGAGAGAACTTCAATTTGCCTTGCTCTTGAGACCACTGTAGGGAAACACTCCACCCATTTGTTCTGCATTCTAGTAAAAGTTCATTCTGATAAATAAAAACCAAAAATGGGTATTCAGAAGTACTCTCTCTATGAACTGTTGAACAACACTAAGAGGAACAGAGCTCACCAAGTTTGTAAACATGTCAACCAAAGCCAACCCGTTCATGATCACCACTCCTGAAGCTCTTGACATCTCAATACTAGTATCTGGGTTTCTCAAGCTGCAAGCTCTTGGGAATAGTCTCTCATAGCTTTCGTGGTTGATCACATCCCTCCCATCATTTGTAGACTTCCTCCACAAGGGCTCATCTGTCTGCAAAAGCCTGATAATTTCAGCCATGGCACTGGCAGCAAGATCTGCCATTACTGCCTTCTCCATCTCTGAGATGGCCGTTGTCTGAAATGGCAATTGTGGATCGGAAGAAGAACTTGAGGCAAGAAGATCAAGATCAAGAGCATGTCCGCCCATTCCTTGACCTCCCAGACTCCCAACTGATAAATCCAATGAAGAAACTGAAATAGGTGGAACGGGTGGAAGCTGTGAGATCGGCCTCCCAGTATACCTCGCTGTGATGCTAGTTATTCTTTCAAGCTGCAAAGAGGGGAAGGAGTGGGGTAATCTAAATTAAGGACAATAGAACAATCGAATGAACACAGGAGACCAAAACAGAAAAAAAAAAAAACAATAAAAATGGAGGTGGTCTGAGTTTCAGTCATATCAAAAAGCTTACTTCTTCTCTCAGTCGGGCATTCTCCAACCTCAGTTTCTCTTCATCAAAATACTCCCCACCAGGAGGACCCCCACAAGTTGGGCAGATCACATTCTTCAGTGCCTCTCTGATTGCTATGTTCTCACTCCTGATCCTATCATTGTCTTGTCGAAGCGCATTGTTATCAGAACGTTCGAGTTGTGCCTGGATTAAACCAGCATATCAAATTTGTCATTTCTGAAGAAGCAAGAACTCCGAGGGAAAAAAAGAAAAGAAAAGTAGAAAGTAAAGCATCCCCACATCCTCACAGAAGCAAAAATCTATCGATACAGTTAGATTACCTTCATCTGGGTCCTCCTGTTCTGGAACCAAAACTTGATCTGACGAGGCTCTAGCCCCAGCTCCCTGCTTAACTGCAAACGTTTCTTTTCGTCCGGGTGGGGACAGTCCTTGAATACCCTTAATCCCCATAAACAAGTGAACAAACTCATTACCATCAATAGAACAATCTCCATTACAATGAGTAAAGAAGAAGATAAGTTGGCAAACACCACTAAAAATGAGTAATAAACACTTCCTCTCCTAGTTTTTAGTCAAACTTGAAGAGAAGCATACGAAAACAGAAGCACAAAAAGAGTCGGAAATCAATATAAAACTCATTAGCGAGAGCTGCATATGAGCCCGACATGAACACTATTAGTTCCTATGATCTTATCAGGGTCAAGGAAACCAAAAGAAAGAAGATCCAGATGGACGAAAACAAGGAAGAAAACAGTGAAAGCAACATCTGTAAGAAGTTCTGAACAAGGAAAACAGTACAGAAGACAAGAACAAAAACGTTATATCATATGTAACAGTGATCTCTTACGCTTCAAGCCGCTGAATCTGCTGAGCAGTGTGTCTATGGTAGCGTTTCCTCTTGTCATGAGGATCAGGGATGTCTCGGTCGTCCCCGGAACCACCGCCTCCGACGCCGGCTTCCATTTTCAGTCACCAACACACGCTGTTAATCACTCAGTCGTTGTTGTTGATGAAGCACCTTGTTTCTTCAAATTTGAGGGTATAAATAGCAATTTTCTGAGTGAGAACAAACCCATAAAGCAGCAGAGGAGGGATTTGTTTGGATTCTGGTTCGGTGTGCTCCACTACACGTGCTCCTGCATTACCCATTTCTCATTTGCGGAGGAGTAGAAACGGCCAGAAAATCGGAGGTATCAGCATGAATCAAGGGAGAGTGAGATACAGAATAAAGCAAACCAAATTTAGATGAATTAATGGGGCTCCCGTGGATTTCGAAGATGTGTAAGAGCAAGAGAAAACCGACGAGAAACCAAGATAACAAGCCAGCGAATGCCCAGCATTAAGTAACCGACGGTATTAAAGCCCCTGTTCTGAGATAGCTTGAAGAGGCTTTTAAGTATTTTTCCTCACCATTCCAGGACTCTCTCTATCTGTATTTGAAGTTTGGTACGCGCAGTCGTAGGAGTACAGGTTGGAGTCTTTAAGACATGGTTGCCGGCGACGGCATATATCGGCTGCCGGACAGGCCTTTTCCGACGAATCTATTTCTCAATTTAGTACTTTTGGTTTTGGTTTTCGACCGTACGGGAATAGAAATGTGTAGTGACGGAGCTGCCCTTTGGTACCCTTTTTTCACACACACCTCAATGTGAACAAAAGTCAAACCTGTTTGCTCATTTGGATAGGATGTAATTTAATGAGTTTTTCCTCTTTTAACAAGGTGGGTTTTGTTTGGGTGAGATCCAGGGCTAAATATAAATTATGATCTTAAGAATGTTTACCATTGATGAGGCAGAATGTCATGATTGATTGATAATGAAATCTCCTGAGAAGTTGCTTTGTTTGCCCCTCGGTTTCATCTAAGACTGTCTTCGGCTTAAAAATAATAAAAAAAAAATAAACAGAAAAACAAGAGAGAAATAGAAAGTTGAGGGGAAGTTATTAATTAAAAGAATTTCACAAATTTTATTAGCAACTTTCCCTCAACTTCCTATTCCTCCCTTGTTTTCTGTCAAATCAAATGCGTCCTTCAGGTAGTAAGTAGAGTTATGATGGACGAACTTAATATATTTGAAATTAGGGTAAATCTATGACGTCGGAAAGGTATGATAGAAAGGAGTTTTCATGAATGGAAATCTTTTTGAATTTTGAATTTGATGAATATCACCTGATTGGTTATCGTTTTTATGATATAAATTGATTAGTTATAATGTTTTTTTTTTTTAAATTAATATGATTGAAAAAATTGGTTAATGATTATATTTCGACAATCATGTTCGCTAAAAAACAACAAGTTATACAAGAAAGCGACATTTGTCAAAAAAAAATTGGCATAACTTTTCTTGAACCCTTGAATTGATGAGTTTCAATGGGTTCATTTGTTTGGAATCAATGTGATCAAATAATTGGTGGATTTGTTACGTCTTTTTGGCTAAAAATACAAGGACTACCAATGTATGCTTTTTTCAATTTTCAGCCTTTAGGCATATAAGGCCCCACTTGATAAGCTTTAGGCTGCTGGGTTGGGAACAAAAATGAACCAAAAACAATTAGTGTTTCGAGTGTTTGGTAAAAATTGCTTTTAAAAGTGTAACAATCTAACTAAAATACTTTTAAGTCCCAAACCACGAAGCCTAAAATTGGGGCCTTGTGCTTCTGGGCTTTAAAAGCACACATTCTGAAGCTTATCCAAGTGCAACTGTTTGGGTGAAAGGCTATGGGATTTTATGATATGAAGCCATGATAAAATTCAATCAGAAATGAAATGATTTCATGAAATTTTTAATATACACATTTTTTCAACTTTGCCCTAGATAAATAATTGCTAAATTTGGTCATGTTATCTATTTAAATTTTATTCTCAATGAATTATTTCATAAAGCCAAATTAATAAGGTCCATCATGCCAATTTTTAGAAATCTGATGGTAACCTTACTCATGGACTCCATCGGATATGATTGAAGTGGTTCATTAGAGAAATGTGGCTAATTTTTCTATATGTTATAAATTAATTGTGGATAGATTTGAATAACTCATCATCGTTGTTTTAGTAGAAATTATCAATGTTGACCCAAGGAATAAAAAAAAAAAAAACCATCAATATTCCATATATTTGCCATTCAATTTACTTCTATAGCACCATGAGAAGGATATGCTTCAAATTTTTACAAGTAGTGATGAACTCTGCAAGTATTCTATACATCTACCATCATCACCATTGTTATCATCACTAACAATCACTTCTATTATTCCATTAGCCCCTTTTGACTAATAAAGACATAAGAATTGAAGTGGGTAATCCATTTGTTCAACAATTAATCCTCTATTAACAGTCTGATTTGTAAACTAGGTTCATTCAATTAGAAAAAGAAAACCGGTATAACCATCCATTGTGGTATTGTCCTTGCCATCCCCAATCACTATTAACTCATCACATAAGTGGTCAAGGGCATTTTTATAATTTTGTCATTTTAATGAAGTAAAGCCATTCTTAAAGAGACTGGATCTGCTCCTCACACCTGGCGCCTCACACGCACATCCTATCCTATCATGCATTGGGAACATCTCCCATATGAAGCGCCCATTTGTGAGGAGCAGATCCCGTCACATTCTTATTCTTAAGATCTATTGTCCTTTTCTTCACAGTTCACACCGTTCATCTTTTGCAACTAATCTAATAAGAATTGTTATCTGTTCGTTACAGACCGCGCCTCACACTGGTGTTACAGCCACATCCCATTAATAATAATAATATAAGTACGGAAGATATCCCCTATGTGCGGTCAGAACATGCTGTGAGAGTCGATCGGGATTCGTTTAATGCCACCTATCTATCAATCAATGATTATGAATGTAGGATGGAGGATGGATCCATCCATTATATCCATCATCCATGGATTGATTGATGCATCAATCCATGCGTGCGTTAGTGAAGTCTAAAAAAAGGGGTTGAAAACTTTTCAAAATGATTTTCACCTGCAACACCACTCAACACCCCCCCCTCCCCCTCTCCCTCTCCCCGTTGCTGTCAACGTCGTACGTCCCACTCCCTCTTAATTCGTCCGTATGCCGTCAGAGGGTTGTTTGGTGACAAAGCCCGGATCGCATTCAATGTTCTCCAGTCTCCTCCCTTCTTCTTCTTCTTCTTCTTCTTCTTTCAGTTCTACCTTCTACGAGTTCGTCCTCCCTCCGTCTCCTTCCACCCCCTTTCCTCTTAATAATCCCCGCGGGACCCACACCTAAACCTTAAACCAGCTCTTCTATTCTATCGTCCGATGTCTTTTGCCCAGAGGTGATGGATCTGCCACGTCATCACTGTTCTGCACTGCCGAGTGACGAGATAGTATTAGTAGAAACTCCCAAGTCCCAACCCCCCCCCCCCCGGCCCCGGCTCCGGCCCCCTGAAACCGTTATCTCTCCGTCCGTCTGTCCGTCGCACTCGGAAAGTGGCTAGATCCTGTTCCTGGCTCCAAGTGCGCTTTGACGGAATGCGCTTTGAATAAGTAAATAACGCGTGGCGATGTCTTGGTACAACATAAATAGTAAGGCCCCCTCCAGTAGTAAATTAGTAATGTTGAATTTACAACCAGACCCTTCGCCCAGTCGCCCTTCAAATCAGTGCTATTATGTGTTCTGTCCAGTTTCCACGTGTCCCAAGCGCTGATTTTTGCATCTCACTTGTCAACGACTTCTTTATTATGTGAAATGCTACTACCGTGTGCGGTACACCCTACGCGGTGTTATATATCATGAATAAAATGAATATTTATGTAGAGGACCGATTATGATACAAGAAAACTTACGGCCAATCAATCCTAGTGATGGATCAGGTGTTTTGATTGGTCAAAATCTCTTTCTTCTTTCAGGTAAGATATCTTCTCGGTATCATAGATTTTTTCATTTTTTTTTTGTCATAAAAAAAATGAGAGTTCTACTATCGTGCGGTAATTCTATGATAAAGGGAAAACCTCAGCCTCACAATACAAGGGAGCTGTTGTCAAAGGTAGGAAGCTAACCAATTCATGGGGATTTCGGAGCCTCAGCATCTTGAAAAGGAGAAATCGTGTAAATACCCTGAGAGCTTGCTGTGATTTTGCTTGATAATTTTTGGTTTCAGGAATTCTCTAAGCATGCTGTCAAGACTCAAGGTATATAAACCAGTTTTAGTTTCAAGAAATTCTCATTCATTCTATCATTTGCATCACATCATAGAATCTGAATTATTCTTATACACCACATGGAGCCAATACATCGGAGCATAACCAATCACAAGTAACACACCAGTGTCTCTACAAGTAGGACCGGCATGTATAGACACTTGATTGCATACTTGTGATTAATTACATAGCTCCACCTATACACAGTGGTGCGAGCATGAGATCCAAGTGAGATTGAAGCCCTATCATGGAGACTGCAGAAGATCATTGAGGAGTACCATCATGTTCTATCTCGTTTTGTCATGTTTTTCGAGAAGCAAATCAAGCAGTAAATTGGTAATTCTCTTTCTGAGGTCATATAAATTTGGATGTTTTGCCTTGATCTCTTAGTTTTATATGCTTCTGTGATATTTGAGGGCGTACTAATTAACCCCATTTTGTGTAGCCCTTTCCGAGCCCTCCTTTAGAGTTTCATCCTAATTCCTAAGCGGATATGTATTCAGAATATTCAAATAGCCTTGTCTAAAGCACACAGGGAAAGACGTCATGTTGGAAGAATGAGAGACATTCTGGTCGGATCTTGGTTTATATCGCCTGTATTTAATATATCATTTGAAACAACAACCACAACCAACAAACGTACTTGGCATCTATGGATTGGCTTAGAAGTAGAATATCCAATTAATTGAACCAATCTTGGGTTTGGACTAATGGGGCCTTGCCATAGAAACCTAGATTGATATGTGGCTCATAACCTTACCACTTGTCCAGTTGTTAGAGCCTCAAGATCCATTGGACCCCATTGATGGGTCAAATCTGTTAAAGATCATTCTGTTGCGTTCTTCCAGTTTCTACTTTGGCTAATGTTTTAATTAGGTTGGAGCTGGGTTTTGATTGTTGGATTATGCTTCCTATGGCAAGTTATGGGCCCCCAGACCCATTTTTGGGATCAGTATCTCTTAGTCCTCTCCATGTTCTTTTTTCTTTTTTACTTTATTTATATTAGGGTTACATTCAATGCTTAGCTAACTTATCTGCAAATGGAATTCTGAATTTAAGTTCAAATTGGATCCAGTTAAGGGTCATCTGAATTTGATTCATTTATGATCGGATCCAATATAGATCCGCCCTACATGATCTGATCTGATCTGATACAATTCTATTCAATTTGATTTAAGTATTGTGATTATATATATTTAAAATTTTTGGATGTTTATTTATTTATTTTTGAATGCCAATAAGGCATTTTCATCCAAATAACTTTAGCAATCAGGTACACAAAGATGCTTAATAGTAGTTAAGAAATTGTGACACCTTTGAACATGTAAACAAAGAGGAAACGTTGCAAAGCATATGAAGAATCAAAAGTAAGTCATCAA